GAAGCTGTTCGGTATGTTAAACAATGCTCAACCAACGATTGGATTATCATAACGGACTCACTAAATTCTGTCAAACTACTGGATACAATATACTGTAAAAACCCATTGGTCAATATAATCAAGACCGAAATAAGCGACACCCCACACAAAAATATCACCATCCTTTGGGTGCCGTCACATATAGGGATCCCTGGTAATGAGTTAGCAGATCGGAAAGCAAAGACAGCTATCAACAACTCAATCCTGTCCATCGAAGAGGTACCAGCTTGTGACGCCACGGTGCATCTAAAGCAGAAAATAATGGAGAACTGGAATGATAACTGGAGAAACAAGCCATCTAAACTACGGGATGTAAAACCGAGCTTTGGAACATGGCAAACCATCACCAGCAACCGACGCATGCAAACCACCATCACACGACTCCGACTAGGACACACACGAGCCACCCACGGATATCTTCTAGCCCAAGAACCTGTGCCTATTTGTGAAATTTGTGACGTGCAGTTAACAGTGAAGCACATTCTAGTGGAGTGCCCAATGCTTGAAGTGTATAGGATAACGTTCAACTTAGAAAACACGCTGATAGGGATTCTAGGTCCAAAATGTAGCATAGCAAATCTTGTAAATTTTCTGAAAGCCACTAACTTTATTTATAAAATATAATCAATTCCACCGCTAATGACCATAAGGTTGAAGCGGATAGTTAAATAAAAAAAAAAAGCCAGAGGGAAACTTGTTACAGTTTATTGGTATCATACTCCGTGAGAGACACCCTTTGAACCCAAGAAATTCAATGACGCTATAGAATAGAGGATTGCTTCTCTGGAGAGCGATAGTCGCACCAGCTTATGATATGACTAATTGTTTGTATCTTGGATAGTTGCTAGTATATGCACGATCTTAAATGTAGCTTCAAGGTACCACATCCTTTGAGGTACAGTCTTCGAGTTGGGAAGTGTAGATAACGATAGAAGAGGAAATACCGAAAAGGTACGTTTGTTGTAATATTTTATCGTTGTTGTACAAACATGAATGTTTAGGCTCGCCAATTTTGGTAAAGCCGTCATATCTAGATGTATGACTTCAGTTGCAACTTATGTAGTACATCAACATTTTAGTGACACAGTCTCCGAACTGAGAATCGTCAACATCGTTAGAAGATAAGTTTCACCGACCTTAGGATGGACACAGGATGCAATTAGATGTAGAAGTCAGTCCACTGTGAACATTTGTGTGAGAAACGAACTGGAAATGGAAACAGCGTTAGAATCGAACGGACTGTTTGTTCTAAATTTGTTCGTCTGAAACATGTAATAATAAATAACCTTGTTTGTTTTTGGCCTCTTTCTCTGCTGCCACTTGGTCGATTTTCAAAAACTAGCCTTTGCGTCCTTGGAAGTGTAGCAACATTGTATTAAAATCTCATTAAAAACCGAGCGGTACTTCTCAAGTTATAGGCGGTTATAAGATTAGCCGACAGACCGACGGAAATGAACGAAATGGTTCTTCATGATGTACATGTCATACGACCATGATATCCAAAATGCATAATATCTTATTTTAGGTTAGATTGGTTTTAGCGAAGCCAACGGCAGATCGGCAGGGCTCATTGTGGAGGGTCAAAAATAAAGATTTTTTTTCGAAAAGAAAGAATGATGAAGAACTAAAATGAAGATTGAATGAGAATGAGAAAAGGCTGTAAAATTAGTGAAAGAAGGGTCCATTTTGAAAAGCACTGTGTAGTCGATCTTCCCGTAGTAGGTACATTTGCTGTCTAGAAGCTGATTGGTAACTGTATGTTTTAAGATTGATATTGTATCGAAAAGGTATTCAAATATGACTTATTATTCGTACTTCGATCCTATTCTGGTAATATGTAAACTTGCCCAGATAGATCGGAACTCTTTACAGTGTTTCTTTGAAAATGGGTTCGTAAAGTATTATGTTCTGCACCAGTTGGCCCCTCCAAGAAAAACCATTAAGGGGATCAAGTTATTCAAACAGATTCATACAATTAAGATTTGCATACTTTACTTTCTCTTTTTGTACAATTTTGGAGCTCTTTAGGAGTTAGCTACACGAGAAAATATGCTATTCCTCGTGCTTCAGAAAGTCTTGGAGGTAGTATTGCTTTCACACAAAAGTTACCTCTTGTCGATGGATGGCCCACCTCCTTCCTCTGAGAATTCCTAAGGCAGCATATGCTGCTACAAACTTGCATCGTCATAGTTTTCACTAGTTTATGTTCGTTTCAAGAGGGGACAAAAGACACCTAGTTCCGACGTTGTCTCTTATTGTAATAAAAATTCTTATTCTGATCCCTTGGGATAAACATACATTTGAGTTCTCATGCACGCATAGTGAAACACCACCTGTCAACTGTATAGCTTGGGCCTTACCACAAATAGTCATAAAATGTATTCAAATATGATTTATCATTAGTCCTTCTATCCTAAACTGGAAATATGTCAACTTGCGCAGATAGATCGAAGCTCCTTATACTGCTTCTTTGGATTGTATGTTTTAAGATTGATTTTGAGTTGAAAATACATTCAAATATGACTTATTATTTATTAGTACTTCGATTCTATTCTGGAAATATGTGAACTTGCCCAGATAGATGGGAGCTCTTTATAGTGTTTCTTTGGAAATTGTATGTTTTCAAGATTCATGTTTATTTAAAATATGAAAACTAATTTTGTGAGCGCATCTTAGGTATCTTACCTACAAAAGAGTCGATTGGGCTCTGCAAGGTGAATGGGCGATGGGCATCAAGAGCAAATAAGTGAAAATAGGTATAAAATTCACAAATAGGCTTTTTATCGTACAAAAATATAAATACTGCACTTTCAGGTTAAGAAAGAGATGGAGAGACGGAAACAACGAAATAAGGAATACAACTGGAAAACTGATGAATTGCCCTGTATCATATGTAAGATATATTTTGATATTTTGAATAAGAATTTTTGTAGATATTCTTACTCAGTGAAGGTTTTGTATACCCATTCATGAGTTTGAGTGGATTTTATGTTTCGCCAAATTACGAAATTGAGATATTCTGTTTTTTTATGTTATATGACATGTACATATTCAAAAACCATCTCACCCATTTCCGTCGGTTTGTCTGTTTGTCCGCTAATCATTGGCCCCTGTATAACTCAGGAAGCACCTGTTGGATTTTGATGAAGTTTTGTCACAACCTTACTGCTAAAATAATAAAAATCGTTCGTTTCAGTGTACTGCTTATTTTCAGAAAAACATTTTGAGCGGGTTATTGTAAGGGGTCAAGCGTATCCTGATGTTTTATAATGAACCATATTCGTCATCGTGTACGGATACTTATGAGCCGCCTGTGGATGCATGAGTATTCAACACGATATAAGTCTTTGAGCTCCTTATACCGCCAAGGGTACAAGCTTTGCCAAGGACATCACTCTTTAAAAAATCATCTATTGTGCCATTTCCAAGACTTCAGGTAAGAGATAGCTGTTGAATACGATAAATAGAAATACAAATATTGAACGTCTATGGGAATCTAACGGAGAGTTCATATAAGCTCTGGATTCAGAAGATTGACTAAATAATTGAAGTTGAATCAACCAGTTTAGGAAATATGCCAGGTAAGCAAATTTGAAAATAATGATCTGCTAAATTTTGTTTATTTGCAAACATAATAAATATTTGAGATGATGTAGAAAGTAAAAAGTGCCTGGAAATCGGTTTTTCTTAGGTATCTTTTAAACGACACTGTATAATTAATCGAAATTTTGTCAGCTCCGTAAGCAACTGTAGTTTGATTTGGTGGTGTTCACGGAAAATCACTGACTCACTTATAACGTGAGAGGCTCACTAGCTCTAGCGCAATGTTGCCAACATTTTTTATTTGAAAAAAAAAAACCGATATCCAGTAGCGGCTAGCGGCCATTACGGCCCTGTATCTCCCTAATAATGAACTTTTGGCATTCTCTTTTTGTGTTCTATTTGTATACCAGAAGTTGACATATTCTGATACTATACTGCATACACATTTTGGTGTCCTCATTTTATTATAAACCTTATAAATATTTCAGATAGTGACGAATAAGGGTATAAATCTTTTTGTGACAGTTCAACGTATAGTTTGCACTCTACTATATGAAGACTTTACATGACCTAAGTTAATGAGTATGGCAATTATTCATCTTAGACGTTTTTGAAAATTTCAAACATTTATTTTTACATGATGTAGGACTTACTGATCCTATCATGACGTTTCCCTAGCAGTCTGACGTTTGATAACAACAATAATGAGGAGATCTTCAATCATTTTTAATACAATATACTAAATATTTGTTTTAGAAAATGATGACGGAGTTCGAAGAAGTAGATGCTCCCAGGATGTTATGTTCTATTATATTTGAATATCAATACCTTAATCAGACAACCGCTGTTTTAGTAAGTATGTACCTCTGAAGAATTCAACACTTTTTTGAAATTAACAAAAAATTTATAATTTTTAACAGTAAAATCTAATTCATCTTAGATGTTTTGCAAAATTTCAAAGATTCATTTTTTACATGACGTACAAAGCTGACTGATTATATCATGACGTCTCTCTAACATTCTGATATTCTGATAAGAATAATAGTCAGGAGCTTCTCAATCATCTTTAATATAAAATACCATACAACATTTGTTTCAGAACATGATGAGAGAGATCGAAGAAGTAGATGCTTTTAAGACATATTTGGACCATGTTCTATGATAAGTGAATATCAATCCCGTAATCAGACGACTTGTGTTTTAGTAACAGGACTGTATTTCAGGTAAGTTGTGTACTGTTCGCTGGAGTCAGTCCCAAAAATTATTCACATATTTTAAACAACGCTATTAAAATTATATTGTTAAATTAGAAACGCACCTTAATAATTGCACACATTTTTGAAACTAAAATACAAAATTCTGGAGCATCTAATTTGTAATGATGACAGTAACAGATTCTATCGTGATGTTTCACCTACTAACGCTTCTGGCAATAGTAGCAGTTAGAGGAATAGCAAGTATTGCAGCTGAACTACCTTTTAAAAAATATATATAATTTATCTCAGATGTTTTGAAAAATTTCAAGCATTCGTTGTTTATATGGTGTAAAGCTGACTCACTGATTCTATCGTGACGTTTTCCCAGCAGTCTCATATTTTGATATCAATAATAATGAGGAGCTTTTCAATCATCTCTGATACAAAATACTATACAAAACTTGTGTCAAAATATCTTTAGGAAGATCGAAGAAGTAGATGATTCTAAGACATCTTTAATGTTCTATTATATCTGAATGTCAACACCTTCTTTTAGTACAAGAATTTTAATTCGGGTATATTATGTTCTCTTTGTGGAGCTAGTCTCAAAAATATTTAACGAACTTAAAACGCTCAAACTTTGATTTTGATGTTTCAGAGGTTCCTTATCTTTTTCAGGAAAAAAATTTTTGGCGTACTCAATTTAAGTAAACAGTTTATAAATTTTAATTAAACCAGTTTCCTAGATCCAAGTAAACTGATTTATGAATTGGAGTTCAATTAAACTAATGAATCTTATTAACAGTCAAATGGTTAATTAAATTTTTAATTGACCTTATTAAAATTTTTCTTGCTTAAATTAAATTCGGCATATCTGCCAATATAATTTATAATATTACCGATAAAAATCATACAGTTTTGTTAATAATGATGACCTGAGCATGGTTAACAAGGTACCAGGCACAAAACATATGGGATTTGACCACCGGTCAATTTTAAAGAAAACTCATATAGTGATAGATCATGTTGTGCTATAAACAAATTCTGAATACAAATTGTATAACAACTGTTTCAGAAGAAAATGAAGCAAATTGGAAAAATGGATGCTCAATTGCAAGACATCTCGGGGAAATATCAGTACCTAAGGATGAAAGTAAATGAAGGAAAGCCAAATGATTATTCAGATCAGAAATATCGTTCACGTAACTGTCTGAATATGTTGTTCATGAGGCAGCTCCAAATAATGTAGAAAGCAGGAAAACTGGTCTTATGATGACAGTTTGCCACCACTCACGCTGATGAAATAGTTTAAAGCTATAGCTAACATTTCGCATTTTTCAATATAGTAGATACAAAATGTTGTTAACCGTTTCAGATAAAAAGAAACAACGAGTGTACTAGAAAGACCGAGGATCAGTTGTAAAATGGACAATATTATATTACATCCAAATATAAATGCGTAAAGATGAAAATGGGACACTTTTGGCTAGGAAAACTGTATAAGAAAACTGCCGTATCGTCATAGCAATAGTTTAGGTGAGCCAGCTGTGAGAGATATACTATTGAGCATTTTTGGTTATAGCTTGGTTTCATAAAAATATTTCACGCAACTTAAAAAGAATTCGTTTTTACGTAAAAAATAAATTATCGGTTTAGTAATTCACGGTCCCGGTGTATATGGGGAACGAGCCTTTGTTGTTTGGGCGCCCTTATGGATTCTAGCGTCAAACTAACATTGGATTTGGGATCGAAGCATCCACTTCATTCAAGAATTGGCGCCTCGGATCACAGAGAACTAGGGGTTCTTGTTTATAATGCTATTGAAATCTCCACCCAAAATTCAGAGCACATTTTTCTAACGAAAGTTTCTTGTTCCTACACATTACGTTGTCATACAATGAGGTATAAATTACGAAAAATGATCTAGTGTGTTACACGATTACTAGTTACCGGTAAGTGATATTCGATCTAAATTATATGAAGTCCTCGTCGAAGTAAATATTTAGAATGTATATCCTAGTACCCTCGTAGTAGTAGCCAACTGCCACCGCGTCCCCTCACCCTACTTTTCTCCCCTCTGGCCGCCTATAAACCTTCATTGACTTCAAAGCCAAGTTGTTGCAACGATTGGGTGATACATAGGGAGAGAGGGAGCTATTTACTTCGAAGAGGAGTTCGCATAATTATGATCGAACATCACTCACAGGTAAGTTCGTTTGATCGCGTAATTATGTTCTGTCCTCGTCGAAGTAAATATTCTGAATGCGTATGGTAGATGTTAAAAGCTAGTTGCAACAATATACCACTAACGCTCTGCAATAGTAAACCGTGGTTGTACACAACTACACAAATTATACGCAATGCATGTGTCAACTAAATGTACATTTCCATTGTAACAATTCGAGTTAAGGCTTTTAGCAACAGGTAATATGACGTACCTGGTTAAAAAATTACTATCCATTTCATGGTAATGAGCAAATAACGTAATAACATAGTTGTGTTTAAGGTGTGGAGATTTGGTTCACCTCAAATGCCGCTTGAGCAAAGCTATTGTTTGGCATAAGAAATTTGTGACGTATCTCAGGAAACGCAGTCCAGCCCGCCACGAGCCTGAGACTACTATAAATTAGCAGGCGGAGAGGTAGACGCATTTCATGTACTGTGGGTTGTCAATTGTGACACTCTCTGCTAAAACCGACTTCATCCATCTGGGAGCCGAGGCACCATGATAAAGGTACTGTACAGTGACAAATAAATGCTTTGCACAGATATTTGGGCATAACATACAGTAAAACTTAAGTGGTTGCCACTTGAGTGACCCCGAGCCTTTTAAAAACTGATAAATCCCAATTTCGGTATTATTCAACCCAATCCGGATGTTGTCTGTTTCAATTAGTTTGCACAGTCTGACCTGAGGTTAGAGCTAGCAGTGTTTCTGATTTCCTCATCCAAATATCTACACAGCTTGCCAGCAACCCTTTTGGTTAGTTGCGAACAACCACAGTGACTGTATCTCAGTTGAGATGGCCTCAGCCTGTAAATGCCCTTCATAATCCATCTTATGTCTGCATCGTTTGTAACATTTTGGGTAAAATACTGATAGCTCAAACAATTATATCTTGATCTCTTATCACCTGCAAGGTAAGAAATTTCAAGGTAGGAAGCCAGACATGTATTTCTTCCCGACAAAGGTCCTAGCGTAGTCTAAGCCCACAATACATGATGGATTATCGATGTTGATTGGAATGACAGCTTTCTAGTGACGATAACCAGGGTAAGCTTCAGAATCATTGGAAGCGGCGTCCTGGGTCCCTCCATCAGTTCCTTGCGTTACTTCTAGAAGTGAAATTTCAGAAACACCGAATACTTGAGCCAAAATCAGGACGGTGACAGGTGCAGCTCCCACTCCGTTTCCACATCCCACAGACGCAAAAGCTCATCTGCACCAGTATTACTCCTAGATTTTATATTTGACGCGAAGGCAGTAAGATTTCTCTCTTTACACAATTGCCATAATTTTCCCGCAACCTGGTCCAGACGTGGAAATCAGAAGCTCTCCGTTCTATTGATGCAGGATGGGGTAATAATATGCGACACCCCATCAATTCGGTAGCAAAGCATTCACCATAGAAGAAAACTACCAGTTGTTCTGGATGATTATCATGCGGGATCTTCTCGGGTGACCAAAAACTAGAGACTCCTCTAATCTCTACGGAGAAGTCTGATCCCAGTTCAATAGCCTAGACTCAAGTGTTATATCCCTATAAACAAACAGTCTTGAGGTAAGGAATCAAACGTGTTGACCCATCAGACTTGTAGGCAAGAAAAAGTTGGATAGGTGCTGATTTTCAATTAGCTTAGCTTTGCTGTAATGTGAATATCTGCCAGCATGCACTCCTCTCCCTTCTTTGAACCTAGAGGATAGAGTATAGCCACTTGTAGCTAATGAACAGCTCACATGTTGGTATACGCAGTCCAAGCACCCATCCCTGCTTGCGACAATTTCTATTATGGCTTCCGTTAACTCAGGGTTCACCATTCTGGTAACAAGGAAAAATATATCTTAACAACTTCCTAGCCAGCCATGTTGAAACTTACAGTACTGTTCCATGGTTATCACAAACCAGATTAAATTGTTTATCACAAGCAAATGAGAAAATATTGTTGCCCATGCGTTGTTGCTACGTTGTCCCAAACGCTTTCGGTGATGGTATTTGTGCAACGAAGTTCAGTATTGAGTCATTTTTTCAAACATCTTCATTCGTCCTTGGTGTGGACTATCACAAGCTAGGTCCATGTTGCTATCCCAAGCAACCGAGTCCAATATTACAACGTTATCCCAAATGTCTTCGTTCATCCTTGGTGTGGAGCTGACTATCCCAAGCCAGGTCTACGTTGCTATCCCGAGCAACCGAGTCTAGCGCTTCCGCGTTATCCCAAACGTATTCGTTCGTCCTTGGGGTGGAGCTGACTACCCCCAGCCAGGTCCACGTTGCTATCCCGAGCAATCGAGTCTAGTGCTTCCACGTTATCCCAAACGTATTCGCTCGTCCTTGGTGTGGAGCTGACTATCCCAAGCCAGGTCCACGTTGCTATCCCCAGCAACCGAGTCCAATGTTTCAGCGTTATCCCAAACGTCTTTGTTCGTCCTAGGTATGAAGGTGGCTATCACAAGCTACATCCAGGTTGCTATCCCAAACAACAGTGTCAGAACGTTATCCCAAACGTCACGCTAGGCACAATTTGCAGCGCCGCTGAGGCATCCATACTAGTATTCATTTAACTTGCACCTAAAACAGATCGGTTAGTTGACAGTTTCCTGATGGTGACGCTCCTTCAAAAAAAGAAGCCTGCACGCCACTTTCTAATTGTGGTCGGCGACGAAAGGAACCTTCAGGCGACCGTCGATCGGTATCTCGTTCGACAATGCACATCTAACGGACAACCTTCTGTCCTGTTTTCTAATTCTAAATGTTCAGCGGATCCTCGACACTGCACTGTACGTAAACGCGCGACGATTAAAGTCTTGACGGTCGGGCACGAGAACAAGGAATGAAGGTTTAAAGGCGGCCAGAGGAGGAAAGGGAGGGGGAAGGGGCGCGGTGCCGCTATCCTTCTCTGCGTGCGCGCTTTGAAATCATGGTGGTTGGGTACTACTACGAGGGTACTACGATATTTATTCTAAATATTTACTTCGACGAGGGCGGAACATAATTGTTCATTCAAGAGTTTTTGCCACGTTAGATTTATAACATTAGCAATCTGTTCCAGGAACGAATCCAATGGACTTTACCGCCACAAAGACGGAGAAAAATACGTAAAAAGAAGATATAATCTATCAAAAACGATAATACATGGAAAATTAACACCAGAAGATGTAAGAAAAAATTATATAGGAACGTCTAGGGAATACTCGGACAATCTGCTGAACTACATTTTTTGTATTTACCACCATTCAGAAAGTCTCCGTGCACATGATGGTCGATAATAGAACATAAAGAAAATGGCATCAATCAGATTGACTACTCTATACTTCCTACGCCTTCGTTGGAGGTTTCAAAGAAAGGGGATGAGTCAAATCTTTTCGGAAGGCGAAATCTAATCGTGATTGGGTAGGTTACGCAGAATCTTTGGCCTCTGCATATCATATATAAAGCAAATTCCAGGGCAGATGTAGGGAAAATATGTGTGACTTATTATGTCTAATAGGTGCCTAGTATCACTGAGATCAGCAGCTTGTTAACAATAGAACCACAGTTTACATTCAAATTTTGATTTCTAAATATAGTATTACATTCATGATAACTATCAATGTTCATTAGAAGGTTGTCATAAGTATATTTTAGCATAAGTGATACATTTTAAAATGATTCAATTGATGCTGAAAACTTCCTTGGACCTAAAACCTTCTCTACATGAATCGTGAGGTTTCATTCAAAACATTAATCTGATAATTCGCTTTTGGGCTCGGCTACTATTGTAAGATAAGAGACTATATGCTGATTTATTTATTTATTGATTTTTATTTAATAATAATATTTAATAAAGATTATATACAAAGAATATAAACACACATAAGGATATAACACAACAATATAATTCCTCTTCATCAAGGACATCTCGATGACAGAAAGATGCACCTAGGCGGTTCATACCACCTGTATGTGATTTCATCATCCGGACTTGGAAATGAAAAGAAAATCCTATTTATTAGATTACAAAAAAAATTAAAAAAAACAATAATCAACGCCAATATCCCGAACAATAAATCAATCACACTATGATACAAAAACATCATCAGAAACACCTTTCAAATTGTTCAGCATTCTCAAAAATATATTCTCTGCAGCTGGCACTAAACGTTTTAATAAATAAATAAAATTCCACGGCAGATGTAGGGAAAATATGTGTGACTTATTATGTCTAATAGGTGCCTAGTATCACTGAGGTCAGCAGCTTCTTAACAATAGAACCACAGTTTACATTTAAATTTTGATTTCTAACTATAGTATTACATTCATGATAACTATTAATGTTCGTTAGAAGGTTGTCATAAGTATATTTTAACATAAGTGATGCATTTTAAAATGATTCAATTGATGCTGAAAAGTTCCTTGGATCTAAAAACTTCTCTACATGAATCGCGATGTTTCATTCAAAACATTAATCTGATAATTTGCTTTTGGACTCCGCTACTATTGTAAGATAAGAGACTATATGCTGATTTATTTATCTATTTATTTTTATTTAATAATAATATTTAATAAAAATTATATACAAAGAATATAAACACACATAAGGATATAACACAACAATATAATTCCTCTTCATCAAGGACATCCCGATGACAGAAAGATGCACCTAGGTGGTTCAAACCACCTGTATGTGCTTTCATCATCCGGACTTAGAAATGAAAAGAAAATTCTATTTATTAGATTACAAAAAAATAAAAAATAACAATAATCAACGCCAATATCCCGAACAATAAATCAATCGCACTATGATACAAAAACATCATCAGAAACACCTTTCAAATTGTGCAGCATTCTCAAAAATATATTCTCTGCAGCTGGTGCTAAATGTTTTAATACTTTTCGTCTTTTTCAAGTGCTCTGGCAGAATGTTATATATCTTTGGTACTATATACTTTATGTGTCTTAAGTTTAGGTAATTATTATTATTGAGAATTTCTATTTGCCTACCCACATTTGCACGAATACAGTAGTTACGATTTACTTACTGTCATCACGTACAAGGTTCTAATATTGCACATATCCTTTGTAAAAAGTTTATTAGTGGGGAACATTTTATCTTTCTTAAAAATAATTTTAATAACATATATTTCTGAATAATAATGAGTTTATGTAGATCATTATTATAAAATCCGCCCCATACTAATATCCCATATCGAATTATAGATTCAACAAATGCTTTATAAACTGTTATCAATTTTTTTTTATCGAGAAGCTCTCGCAGTAGATAAAATTTATGGAATAATTGTCTAACTCTACTCGATACATAATCAAGATGCGGTTGCCACTTTAAATGTTGGTCAATTATGGTTCCAAGATATTCAGTTTGAGACACTTCCTTAACAGAATAATTATCATCTAACATAATAGTGTTGTGAGTTGGCCTGTTTTTATTGGTTAATGAAAACTCAATATAGTTTGTTAGTTTACTCTCTTGTAACCAGTTTTTTACGATACCTAGACCATACACTGTTTTACACTTTGCATTCTCCCAAACTAGAACTTGCAAAAAGAAGTACAGTATCGTCAGCATAAGAAATAGTTAAACCAGCTTTAGCATCTTATTTCTATAAATTATAAAAAGGAGCGGACCCAAAACAGTACCACGCGGGACACCAACCTTTATCATTTTTTCATTGCTCATTATGTTATTTAGTTTTAGCAGCTGTGTTCTGTTTGAATGATAATCCCTCAGTCACTCCTCTAATACCATTGCTTCTGAAGAATGTCGATCAGCTTATCGTGAGGAACCGTGTCGAAAGTCTTAGCAAGGTCCATAAAAACAGCAATACTCTTGTTGCCATTATTCAGATTATTGACAATCTCGGTAAGTAATTTCTGCATAGCATCCACTGCACTGTAACCCTCAAGAAACTCGAAATGATTATCTGATAATACATCTTTAGTTTAAAAAAACCATTAATCGACGTTTTTCAAATTTGTTATTAAACTTATAGGCCTGTAATTTCCAATAGATGTAGTATCCCCTGATTTATGTATCGAGATAGCTATTGACGTTTTAAATTCTTTCGGGACAATTCCAGTTTCCAGAATTGAATTGTGAATATGTAATAAAGGTGTTAAAATTTCAAAATAAGTTTGCTTTATAGTTTCAACCTGCATTCCATCATATTACTTTTCAAAGATGCGATATGTTTTATCAGTTCATTCCCTGTAATGGGGCGTAAGAAAATAGAATTCTGGACGGGGTGCACTAATTTACACTCAGATTGAGGAGTGGGAATTGTCCGCGCCTTGTTAACACCCACATCAATAAAATATTCATTACAAAAAATCACCATTTCAATAGAATCTGTAAACTGGTTGCCATCATTATCATTTATGGAAATATAAGATTGACCTTTGTTACTCTTTTCGCACGTAGCATCCGTTATAATGCCATACAGTTTTTTCATGTTATTTTTATTTTTTTAATTTGCGTTCTATAATAATTATTCTTTTATTTGCGTACTAATTTATATAGTTTATTTCGATAATCCTTGTACTGATTTTCCAAAGACTATACTTGCTAGAAGACTCTTTTTCATTTTATCCCTTTTTTTCACAGAAAAAATAACTCCATTGCTAATCCCTGGTTTTATTTTTTTGGGATTAATACTCTTGTGGCAATTGTTTCTGTTGCTTCCGCAGCAAGTCCCTGTAGGTAATCAAAAATAACTTTACAGCTATTTCTGGACCATTCACACAAGTTACCAAATTCCAATCACATCATTCAAAAGCTTCTCAAATTTATTTATGTTTAGTTTGTTTCTTGTTACAACTTGCCCAACCTCCAAAATTCCAGAAGGTCGTGCTTTATTACATATACAAAGCACTGTTGGACTGTTGTCCGTTATTTCCTCATTGAGTATATAAGAACGTAATATTAAACAATTGGTTTTCAATTTTTGGCTAACAAATATATGGTCCAGGCAAGTTTCCGAAGACAGTCTATTAGGTTTATTGATAAATGCGTTAAATTCAAGAGAATACATCTTTGACAGATACTCTGTCACCAGAGTGTCCTTATTATCCAGAATACCTTTGTTAATATAATGCGTAATAGACTTCCATTAATCCTTCTTCGTTCAAATTTTTTTTTTTACTAATTTGTAGAATAGTATGAGCCTGATACGCTTTACTTAAACTTGTGCAACATGATCAATATGTTCACAAAAATTTAGTCTACTTGTCAAAGTCCGTACCGAGAAATTTGCAGGAATCAGTTAAATAAAAGTCATGCATATTTAGTTCAATCCAAATTATATATATATATATAATTACATTACTGTACCCTGACTAACAGGAAGCGCACTTTAGGGCACATCCGGCATCGATAAATCACCGCGTAGGGCTCAGCATTACTTTTCTCCATATAACCTCCTCACTTTATAGACCCAGATAATACAGCTGCGAGTACTGCTCACATGTTTGGAGGGATGCCATTACGACTACATTCTCCTTGCTCGATACTGTTCAGACGAGGGCTGCCCGACCGGTCGATGACTGTTCTATGAGGGACAATCTCGCGACCCTTTATGGGTCACGATAGTTCTGTTCCTTTCCAGACGTTTTCACATCATTTTCATTATGTAAACTGCCCTAATTTTCTTATGAAATGCACAGGTGTGTCTCCATGTCCCCGGCACACCTTTGAGCATCCTTTTGGAAACGATAGATATACAAATACGATGCTCAATAGAACTGATTTATCATTATAAATCTCCGGCTGACCTAGTCAAAGTAGCTATTGTAATACCCCCGTATACAACTGAAACAGCACGGCTCTAGACCAATGGCGCGCAAGCAACAACCAGAATGGCGGCGGGTGATCTAAAAATTCAAAGGGAAATAAATCTTATAAGTAATAAAAATGGGCGTGAAAGGTACGCCTGCGAGTTACAGAATCTGCACGTGCACCTTTCACTTATACCATATCTAAAACTTATCTTCCTTTCAATTTGTAGATGACCTGCCGCCATTCTGGTTGTTGTTAGCATGCCATTGGTCTATAGCCCTTCTGCTCCATGTGTATACGGGGGTATTACAACAGTTATTTTGACTAGGTCAGCTGGAGTAGACTTTCGTACATGGAGATTTATCATGATTTATCGATTCTAATGAGCATTCTATTTGCCTTACTATCATTTTCAAGAAGGTGCTCATAGCTCACCCGGGGAGACTGTAACATGGAGTCACATCTGTGCATTTTATAAGAAAATTAGGGCACTTTACATAATGAAAAAGATCTCAAAGCATCTGGTGGACCGAACCACCGCAACCCATAAGGTTTATAGCCTTCCACCAAAACCTTTAACCTGGGAATGGGGGAAGTGCCACAGAGGGGCACATAAACACTCAAAAAGGGTGCTGAAATAGAAATTGAAAACATCAAGTAAATAACAGCCGAAAGAGGTTTTTTTTGGTAGAATTTTCCTTATGGGTTGCGATGGTTCGGTCCACCTGCAGATGTTTTGACATCTTTTTTATTATGTAATCTGCCCTCATTTTCTTATAAAATGCACAGATGTGACTTCATGTTACTCGATTTATGCACTTCTCCATCACATATATATATACAACCGAATGTAGAGCTATAGTCCTAGTTGTTTTAAATCCTCTTAAAAGTAGTTTTTGAAATTTTAATCAGATCAAAAGGCATTCTTATGGGTATGTTCATTTGTAAGACCAAAAGGTTCGAGATTACGTTAGAATTCTACAATTCAGTAAATATTGGGGTGGTACAGTTTGTAAACCGGTACAATATACTCTACTTTTCTTTACAACTAAAAGTCAACTATCTATATTTTCGAGATTCCTATATGCTCCTAACAAGACATCTGCGTCCTAGAAGGCCAGCTGTCATTTTTTTGATCGGCTTCACAATGAACCATTGGTTTTCCAGAACTGAACTGAAATGAAGATGAGGTTGAGTGGCGGACTAAGAGGGCGCGGATGGGGTGGATCGCCCGGTACCTGTATAAAACTTCCAAATGTTGAGAAAACCCAATTTATAATCATTAAATGAATATTTTTTTATAATTGCTCAATAAAACAAGGCAGAAAGGAGTTACATTTCCTAAATTTTTGTGTATGACAAGCTACGCTACCAAGAGATAATTTTATTTGAATATAAACACTGCGTACGCATTTCGCCGGGCCGTTTCTGCCAACCTGAATCAAGCTTGCATGTTTGAATGCTCTGTCCAATTTGCATAAAACTGTACCGATGGTATACGGCCATGAAGGAAATTAACAAAATCTTTCTAATTGTTATTTTGTTGGTTTTTGTTCATTTCAATCATGAGAGCATTTCAGGACGTATCGTTACTGTAAGCCTTTGTTTTTCAATTGTTAATCAAACACTCGCTCAATGGTTTGTTCAGAATGTCCCAAAGAGCACTTTGACCGAGAGAACAAAGCAATTTTCTCAATTTGTCCTCTATTGCGGACATACCTACAATTGTCTTTCGTGCTTCATCTAAGTTTCCGCAAGGCTACTTGTCTTTCACTGTGGAAACTTCCTTCGACTGTTTGCATTTCTCGTACTAATACGCTGTTTACTACAAAAATCGATCAAAATGGGTAATTCATGTAATTAATATTGATTATTAAGAATCAGTTTTAAGAAAAAATAATCGATTACCGAATTTTCAATATCTAAGTCTCCTGAAACACAGCACCTTCTAGAACGAAAGCTAAGTCCCCCTATCCAATTTTGCAGAGAACCGCTGACGCCCAATTAGGGAACTGCAGTTGTGTGCAGTGGCAGCACGTTTGGTGGAACAACGGGCTAGATAACAGTACGTAAGTGCTACATATGCTTATTTATGCCTTATTTCATTTCTTTTTGGTGCATTTGTACTTTGATTCTGAAAAACTGTAATACACGTTATATTTTTGAACATGATAATTTAAGAAATAATGAAATTATGGCTCAAAATTGACTATAAAGCATGTTATCTATCGTACATCACGTACGCCAATTTTTATATGGTAAAGAACTATTATGGGGCTTAAAAACAATGTATTTTCTTATTTTCTGACATTTTTGGTGTTCAGACATTTTTATTATAGCCAAAATAGTACCTGAAAGCTTGAAACTGAGCAATTTTAACTTTTACAAGATGGCGGCCAAATGTGCTTAGGTGTCATGTTTTCTAATAGTCCTCTACCAAATCTGATTCATGCACACGATGCATAGGATTTGGGGACCGGTTCTCAAAAAATGATGATGAAAATGCGAACATCAGCATCAGTGCAGCGGCCCTTGTGACAAAAATATATTAGTGAACTTCGAGCATATTTTTATCATTGCAGTGGTCTTTTGGGGAGGAACTCTCACCTCGTTCCCCCCTTCCTTCCTGTGGGTCCGGCAATGCAACTGTCACTTTCGCGCTAAAACAAAATTCATGCATCAATCTTATCGCACCGATTTTTGGCTCACTAACTTGACCTGCTCAAAAACAAGTAGGAATGACATTTATGATGGATTGAGTTAGTACGCTGAAATTTGGGAGAATGAAATTGATACATGGACATTATATATTCGTGTGAAAATGGCAATTGAAACTAGGATGGCAGGTTGTCAAAGCGTTTCTACTTCCCACGCCTGAGACACGGCGGAGAAAAATGCCAAGAAAAAAAAAATCGCATCAAACTTCCTTGTTTGACATTCCAGCCGATTCTGATTATTGTTGAAAAAACTTTGGCAGGCGCTAAAAATTGACGATTAGGGGTTGTAGTCAGAGAGAGAGAGCAAGGTAACTTTTTTCTCAGAAGAGCTAGTTTGTGCCAAACGCAATCCTTTACAAACAGCATAGTATGGGAAGTACAAAGTCAACTTAATTGACGCCATCTTTTCAATGGCAACATGAAATGCCTTCCAATATTTTTTGGGGCCCGCCATTTCGATGTTTTAGAAGGAACTCAAAACGTTGTCTAACTGGAACAAGGTTTAAATATTCTTTACGTTATATTTACTTTAAGCCCGCCACCCCCAGACCTACGAGACCCACGCGCACTCAAGTTCTATATACGCCACTGACATACTTCAAATTCAGCCGTTCCCGTGTGGTCTCTGCCGTACTCTTTATCCCATTCAGTTCTTTCTCTTCAAGAACGATGTTTAACCGACATGTCAATAATTCGCAGCTCGCGTTTCGTTATAGAAACAACTGATAACTGACTTGCTTGCAGTGGCAAAATTCGAAACGACCGACGCGATTTGGATGAGTGATGAGTGATTTTAGGCCAGTTGCTACACGATCCAGTCTTAGTTTCAGTCTACTCTAAGCAGAACCTCATCGTTGCCAGTTTTTAGATATCTAAGAAACCCAGGCATTTTCAAACAAACTTTGATCCCTTATTTTGGCACTGCCTCAAAATTCGTTCTTAGCTAAAATGTCCTGTCAAT